TCGTGTCATTGTGATGAGTCAAAAATTTTCACTCTTCGTTAAAATGGAAATTTTTTTTTTAATTTTTTAAAATATATATACATATTTTACCATTGTATTTTTATATGAAATTAATGTATAGATAAAATATATTGACAAATAAAATACATCTCAATAAAAATAATTAACTTTTCATTCACTTTCCTTCCAATTTTAGAGGGATTGATTTTGATGAATTGAAAATAAAGTTAATTTATCCACTTTTTTATTCTTCCTACTTTCCTTTCTCACCAAACATGATATTTTATTTATCCATCCAATTTTTCATCATTTTAACTTTCCATCTTCTCACTTTTTTATCGTACCAAACGGAGCATTACATTAGTTCTTGAGAGAAAAACCCACAGTGATTTTAGAAAAAATTGACAGAAAAGAATTTGCTGGGTTATTTGACATTAGAAGTTTTATAACAAATATTTTGTTTATGCTGAGATTGCGTTTTATGTGATATCAGTTACAGTGATTTTAAAGGATGTTGTGGGTTTATGTAATCTGTTTATTTTGTTCTTTTAGGAGCTACTCCAAAGTCAATTCTTCAGCCCCCAAAGTTTGTGACGAAGGATCCTTAGTAAAGCTTCATCAAACAATGGGTATGTCCAAAAAAATTGTTATTTTGAATTATTTGAAAAGTTTGTTGTTGCTTAGCTCTAATTTCTCTTACAACTTTTTATCAAGCGTACCTAAGTGCAGTGCCGCAATTCTACCTAGAAGGGAACAACCAATCCTTTTGTTAGTTTTATTGTGTTTAATTTTGAGAGCAGTTTATATTTGATTTGATGCGATGTTTTTAATTAGGTTTAATTAGTTGCAAATCTACATTTTTCTTGACTTAAATTGATTGTATTTTGAATATGTTTATCGTGGGTTTTTGTGATTTTATTTATTTAGGTCCATTTGGTGCGAGTTTTCTAATTGGGTCCCATTTGATGCAAATCTAAGTTTTTTTTCCCTTGGTTAATTATGCCATTTTTTTGGGATCTAATTGGGTAGTAATTTTATTTCCTTCTTAATTTTGTCGAGAGAAACTAAAAACATGGACACAAACATCAATTGACTTTTGTAAGATTGTGCAGGCATTGTATTGATGTCCTATGCGTTTTGGAATTTTTGTTCTCCGTTGTTTCATGGTTGTCTTGGTGATGTAAATCTTCTTAGTTTTTACTATCAGTTCAATAAAAAAAAATTGTTTAAATAAAAATCATTTTTTGTTATAGGGTTTTGCTTCGAAAGGTTGGTTCTTTAAATATTGAAGGACCTAATTCTTTCTTTTATGTTAATATAAAACCCTGGGACATTCATCATCTCATAAAATTTTAGTTTTTTTTTAAATGTGTGATTCACCTGGAGTAAAACTAAATAGAGAAAATATATTTTGACAACTAAATATAGTCGTTTGTACTTATGTATAGGAATGTATGCTCCCAAACAGAGTCGAACTTCTCATGAAGTGTTTGTTAAAATGCCCAAGAGAAATTCCGTAAACCCACCCCTCCCCCTCATTTTTAGAATGCATATTGTAGTTGTCTATTTTATTGTGACAGTGATGCATGTACTTTGCATTTAGTCTTATCACATTGTTGTGCAGTGAACATAATTATTATTGATTTAACAAAAGATTCAAGCATAAATTTGAGGGATAGTAAAGAAATAGGAAGGAAGATTCAATTCTTCCTCACTTCATTTGAAGTTCAACTCTATGAGATGTGTACGCTATGATTTTATTTTATTTTTTTTTGAAAAATTCTTCTAATTTTCTAATTTTTGTGGTTTCACTTGGTTTTCTCTAGCCATTGTCATTGGAAAAAATATTACTTAACATGATCAATGTGAAGCAATGAAGTTAATTGCTATAATAATGCCAACTAGGTGTATGGAGAACTTAACACTATTTTTTATTGTGGTTTTTTGTTTTGCTGTCAAAGGTTGATGAATATATGGCAAAGTGTTTCGTTTGTTATTGTTGTACAAAACTGCATTACTTCAATCTATCATAGTATAATGCTAGAACTATTGATTAATAATCTTTTTACTAAAAGACATTGAGTTATGAATTTTAGATATTTGTGAATATTATATAGCAGAGATTTTGTCAATTTGACCTCTAGGGATTTGAGGTAGATTTTCTTTTCAAAAGCCAATGGAAGCTCATATCTTAAAAGCGACACAACTATTGTTGAATAGTTGTTTCTATTTGATTATGATGATGTAAAACTATTATTTATTTTTATTCTCATTTCACGTGGTGTTTTTAGTCTATAACCAAGCTATGTCATGTATAATGGTGTTTCTTCTTAGTGGTTAGTTTATTATTCTTACTTTTTTAAGGAAAGATTAAGGTGTTTGTTACAAGCTTTGAAATTGGATTGTGTTGATGTTGGGAATGTATGATAATGAATTTTGTGGCTTCAAAAAGTTCATTTTAATTGTGGTTGGTATATTATGATTTTAGATTTAGTTATGCAGTAAGTTAGAAATTTGGGCATCAATGCTTTGGGAAATAATTAAAGATTGGGTTATCGTAGTTTAGGGAAGGAAAAAAAGATTAGGTTGTAAAGCATCAGTAATTATTTAAGGTTTTTTGTTTATCACGTACTGCATTTCAGCACGGGCAACTATTAGCTTTGAATTTATGCTTAAGTCATATTTACGATTATGAGCGGTATATATACAAATAAATATGATTGTAAGTTCTGTAGACAGATTTAGATTTTTCTAGACTCCTATTTTTAGAGAAAATTATGCCAAATTTTTTGAAAAATAGTAGACTAGCTTGATTTCAGTTTATTCCATTAAAGCAAATGAAGTAAAAATTATTTCAAATTGAAAATTTGTTTTAGGTTACAAAGTGTCTTTAGGCAATGTAGTATTCTTTAATTTTTCATTACATCATGTCTTCTGGCTAGTATAGGATGTGACTTGAAGAGTCTGAACTCTTGAATAAAAAAATTGATGCAATTTTAAAACATTTTGATATAAGAGATTTCCCTTAAAAGATGCACGAAAACTTCAGTTTGGTCTCTGAATATTTTTTTATCAACAACTTTATTTCAACCTTATTTGTTGGGATAATTTGTTAATATCATTTATCACAATTATTGAATTGATTAGTGGTCACATTAAATATTGAGGTCCATTATCAATCAAATTGGGTCACCGACGGCACATATTGAGGTCCACACTGGTGATTTTTGCAGGGAGCAATCCGAAAGCTCCAGAATTTTTTCTTGGTTTAACGGGAGGGTAAGGCTCTTGTCAATTTAGCTATATTACAAAGGAAAAATGGGTTAAAAGTTGGTTCAATTTGACATTGAAATTCACAACTGGTCCAACTACTTGCACAATCAAAGACTCCTAATCTATACTTCTGTAAACTACGTATGGTATGTATATATGTGCATAGTTGACATCAGTTTCACCAGTGTATTTCTCAAGGAGTACTGTCACTTGTACTTAATTTATTGAGTTACTTACAATAATCTAATTCACTGTAGCCAATTGTATTTGTAATAAATCTCAATGTTATAGGGGGTCTACTATCAATTTAACAACTGTAGTGGATTAGGTCAATAATTTATATGCATATATGTGTGTGTGTGTGTGCTCAAGTTGCACCCCTACAGCTATCTGGACAACTTGCCCAATCAACATATGATTACACTTTCAATGAAATTGATTCCATGAAAAAATTGAAGACGATAACCATGAGTGCCTTTAAGGTATTGTAAAATCTTTTTTACACCCTAATGATGAATATAGTAGGATTTTGCATATATTAACAGAGACACTATTTACTGTAAAGGCAATATCTGGACGAGTCAACGTTAAATACTGAAGAAAGCCAACAATAATATGATATTAAGTAGGAGTATCAAAATGTGTTTTACATTGATAAAATAATATCTCCCAAACTAGTTTATGATCCTTCTAAGCCTTTTTATACATTGTCAATTGATTTTGAGTAAGATGCTTTAACACAACTTGATTATATTGTTATACTTTTGATACACAACTATTATAAATACAAAATACTATCATTGCAAGTCTAAAAAAGATTTCCAAGTACATGAACGTATAAAACATTGATATATGAATGTCTTTGGTAGGAATTCACCCTCCTAGTATTTGATAAAACTGAATGCTAAATTTTCAGTATTGAATACTGAATTTTTTAATTTGCGGATTGCTTATTATCAACTAAAATTTAAGTACTGAATTGAATTTAACTGTTTGACAAGTACAAGAAGCTGAAGTTTTAAAATTATCATTATTCTAATTTTGTCATTCTTTTTAACCCTCTCTTTGTAACTACCTTATTCATACCACCACCATGATAATAGTGATCATGGCAAGACAATGATGGTGACGACGGTGGTTTCATAATAGTAGTAGTGGGGCGACTAAATGGTGGTGGCAATGGTGGCGGCACAGTGGTGGTGGCAGTTGTGGCGATGGCTCAATGATAGAGATGATAGCAGTAACACAATGGTGGTAGTAACAGTGGCACAATGATTGTGATAGTAATGGTGGGGGTGGGGTGGGGGTGGGGGTGGTGATGGCGCAATGGTGGTGGTGGCGGCGGCGGCGACGACACAACGGTGGTGGCGATGGTGATAGTGGCAGTGGCATAATAATAGTGATGGTGGCGGCGACACAATAGTGGTGGCGGTGGTGGTGATGATGGTGGTACAATATTAGCGGTGGTGGTGCTGAGGGGAGTGAATGGTGGATAATGAAAAGTTAAGAATGTCAAATACTTTGAGTTTTAAACGTTAAGTTGTATTATCAAATCAAACAGCCCCTTACTATTATTCTAAATCTGAAAGAAGACCTCCAGAGGGGAACCCATAAATGGCTACTAGGTCAAGCCTAAGTAGCACTTTATTACAATGCTACGGACATGGAAATCTAGTACTCAGCTTGAATTCATTTATTTCTGGACCAACCAGAAAAGCTTCATGTTGTCACAAAAACTCATTTTGCATGGCATGTGCATGCTCTTTTATCTCCTTCCAAGCCTTGTTCACATGGCAATAGTCTGTAAGTGTTGCTCCAACAGCAAGCCTTATCACGTACACTCCCCCAACCACAGCATGTGTCATGTACACTCTCCCTGTTGCATTAATGGATTCCAAAAGCTTTTTGTTGAATTCATTTGCATCTCCTTCACCTAAAAGCTTCTGAGTAGCATTTCCCACCATTAATGGCGAAACCCGAAAACAAACCATTGCAAAATTTCTCCGAACCACAACCTCGAACCTCTTGTCCATGGCTATGAGCCCTTCAAAATGTTTAGCCATTTTTACATGACCTCTTATGAAGTTTCTGAGGTTTGATACTCCATAGCTTCTGAGCACAAGCCATAGCTTCATTGCTCGGAATCGTCGGCTCAATGCTATTTGCCAGTCTTTGTAGTCCACCACTTGGTTTGAATCGGAAGCCTTGTTCTTCAAATACTCCGGATCAGTTGAGAGAGCTTTGATTAGGGCACTTGGTTCCTTTACCCAGAGACAACAACAATCCAAAGTGGTGAAGAACCATTTATGTGCATTGAGGCTAAATGAGTTAGCACCCTCAATACCATCAAGAAAATGACGAAACTCTGGGCAAATAAATGCACTTCCTGCATACGCAGCATCAACATGAACCCATATATTATAATCTTTTGCTACATCACATAATGGCCCCAATGGATCAACTGCATTGGACGAAGTAGTCCCTATAGTGGCACAGAAAAACAATGGAATTAGCCCAAATTTGATATCTGATTGAATTGCTGATCTCAGTGCATCGGGAGATAACCCAAATCCAGTAGACTTTGTGGTCAATAGAGATCGAAAATTCAAGGGGTTAATGCCTGCAATCTTAGCAGCTTTTTGGAGTGCACAGTGGGTTTGATCAGACCCATAAACAACAAGCTTCCCCATGTTTTCTCTCCCAATTTTGTCCAACATTTGATCCCTCGCCGCGGTTAGTGTGCACAGGATGGCCTCACAAGTAGTCCCTTGTAGAACACCACCACCACCGCCAGAGAAAAGAAATGAAATGGGAAGGTTAAGCATTTTTCCAAACCAGTCCGTCACTATGCTCTCTAGCTCTGTGGCAGCTGGTGATGAAATCCAGTTGAATCCAACAACATTAAAGCCAGAGCTAAGCACTTCACCAATAAATCCTGCTACGCTTCCACTGGAAGGGAAGTAACCAAAGAAGTTTGGACTTTGCCAATGTGTTAAACCAGGTATGATATCCTTTTGCACATCTTTTAGAATTGTTTCTATAGTTTCAGGCTCATCTGGAGCAAGCTCCGGCAGGCGTTTTCGAAGGTAACCCGGTTCAACTTGGCTTCGAACTGGATGTTTCTCAACATTTTTGTAGTAGTCTGCAAGGAAGTCCACAATCATGTGGCCTTGCCTCCTGAATTCCTCAGGGTCTAGAGGATTCATGGTTGTGTTGAGATAGTTATCTAGATCAATGTTCATTTTGATAGTACCCATTGGGATCAACGTTGAGTTAGGTGGTTTTTCTTGCGGAAGTGGCGTGGTTGCTATGTAGCAAATGGCTGTGAGAAGAAAATGGAGAGGGAATGGTGAAGTTTGCGTAGTACTCGATTGAAAATATAACTGGGACATTTATAAGACTTTTTTGGCTGGGACTATTTAGAGCTTTTAACCAAAACCAACTCCCAACAAACTTTATTTTCAAACTCAATCAATTTTAGACTTATTTTTTAAATTCAATCTCTTTTTAAAAACGTCATTTCAAATAATATTTTTTTGGTTTAAAATATCATTTCAAATGACGTTTTTAACCTTGACAAAACTAAACAAAGTTTGTATTAATAATCAATAAAAATGTCTTTTTAAAAAGTTAGTTTTAATGACCTTATTAATTTAACGGTTTTGATAACGGTGTTAAACTTAAAACATCATAGCTATTTTGGAACTTTTTCACCAAACTATTTTGCTTGATCAACTTAATTCCTAAAATTCAAACTTTTTTTTCATAATCAATTACTATAAAAAAATGTCATTATAAATAACATCTTTGGGGGCGAAAATGTCATTCTGAATAGTACTTAATCTATTCTATATCTATATCTGGATTACTAATAAAAGTATCTTAAGATGAAAAAATTTACAATCTCTATTTTACCCTTATAAAGGATTATAAAAATAAATATATACTTTTATAATTAAATATCTAAATTATCATCATTTTTCTTATGTATATCTATATTTATATTTATATTTATACTACTTATAAAGTATCTTAAGATGAAAATTTTTAAATCTCTATCTTTTTACAATTAAATAAATAAATTATCATTATATTCTTATTTATTTAAATCTTTAAATTATCTATAAAATCTCTTATGAAGTTTCTGAGTTTTGATACTCCATAGCTTCTGAGCACAAGCCATAGCTTCATTGCTCGGAATCGTCGGCTCAATGCTATTTGCCAGTC